AAGTAAGCCTGCAACAACCAGCTTTTGCTAACAAATCCACCAATTTGCTTGAGCATTAGAGCTGCACAAGGGTTGCATCTCACCATGTTCCACCCAAGTGTAAGAGAAGATATTTCCTATTTACTAGTCATTGTCCTGCTGTGATGCTGTAGATAATTGTCCTACTGCAAGTTTGATTTGAGCAATTTGATACTTGAGGGCCTTGGCTTTGCAAACTTGTTTGCTTAAACCGCCACTCCAGACTACTCCCATAACCAGCTCTGCAGTCATAGGACTTAGGTCATCATTTCTCTCTTTTTTCTGCAGATAACAAAATTTCTACCTCATCTTCTCCAATGACCAGTTCAAATCACTGTTTAGCATGTAAGACTGCTAAAAAAGGCATGGCTTACCTTTGGTTAGCAGAAATATCAGAAATTGGTCATCAGACAAGACATTTTATCATTTTGTTATGTGGCCTTATTACCATTTGTATTATCATACACATTTTACTAATCATACTGACATCAAAGTGAACCATTTAGAAACACATACAAAGCTAAATTTGGACTGCTACTAATTCATGGAGCCTACAAAACTCACATTGTTTACGGTGAATAATAAGTTTTCTGGAAAAACAGCAGAAAGGTAAGTTCTCTCTCTTTCTCAGTGCAGCTGAAATAATATTTGGAAGACATCCACAAGAACAAAAACGTTCCAGGAGACTACTAATTTGTCAAATCAGGTAATGAAATGCCTCTAGAAATCTGTCTAATATTCTTGAACCAATTTAGAATAGCTTATGTGGTACTCTGAAAATCTTCCTTTTTAAAGATATTTTTATTAGTTTTCCTCCCAATAAGTTTGCAGGAAGTTAAGTGGAAGTCAGAGGTGCAAGTTCTATAGGTAAAGGCCATCTGGAACTTCTGAATCTAGAAAACACTTCTGTAAAGGATGGCGTTTGGGGGGCGGGGTGGGGGGATGGGACACAAACACGACACAACACAAAAACTATGGTCTGGGTATCCTGTCATTCACACTGCCCAGCAAGCAACACTATTACTGCCATGTCAGGTTTCAAGCATTGTTGTATCTTAATTTTGTTTATATTATATACCTGCACACACAGAGCAAGTTTTAAACACAAACCATTCTTCTGTTTTAAGGCTGCTCCTCATATTCTTCATAGCCCTAAACCAATGAAGAATAGACACTTGTCTTCAGATGAAGATTAACATACATAGTTATCACTCATTCTCTTAAATAATTTTTCAAGGCTACTGCTGTTAGAAAACAATGCATTGAGGAATAAAAGGCTAAAAAATTGATCAGGTTCAAGTTGGAGGTCAGTCCCCTCAACTGGAAAGCATTTCCCAGAGAATCAGAAGGTTGTTTATTTTAGCACATTCTTTAGTATGACAGAGCCCATATCCAAGCGCTAATTGATATGACAATCTGCAAGATAGGCGATTGCTGCCTAAACAGACATGACAGTAAGTAACACAGAACAAAAAAAAACGGCCAAGAACAGTTAGTTAGGGCCCTTCACTCTTACTCTCTCCTCCAGCCAGAAAGGACTTGCTCATCTTACACAACCAGTTTTAGCAATAGATCTGCAGTTCTTTTAAAGATGCAATTAGAGTAAGGAATGTCTTATACCATTTCTTTAAGTGGGTTGTTCCAAAGATGGAATCACTTTGTGAAGACACTGGCTATTTAGAGTTTGACTGACTCTTTCTCAAATATTTATACAGAAGGCTCAAATGACAGGAACTGCACTGCTTCCTATAGCCCCTCTCAAATATTTGGTACTTTAAGGTGCTGTCCGTATGAGACGATACTCTCAAAAAAACCTCACAGATCTCATACAGGTGAGAAACAGAGAGATGAGATATGGTAATACAAGTCTCTTTAGAAGGTATCAGAATGGAATCAAAGAATTCTTTTAATTTAGTCCACTGATATGCAAATCAGTTATATTAGCTCACATTGTCAGTATTAGCTGTATTGGCTCTCTAGTACATGCCTTTTATGGTCAAATTTGGCCCATAAAAAATGATCTACAAGTGAAAATCCCTTTTCCTTTGCGCAGAATGGACCAGGTCAGAGCAGTTTTAACGTTACATTCTAGTGGGAGTCAATAGTTTTGGAAGATGGAGAAAAATATACTTTCCTAAATTTAAGCATCATCATATCCTGTAAGATAACTATAGTACATTAATGTAAGGCATAAATATTTTCAGTAGTGTACTGGGAAAAGGATGAGTCCAGAAAACAAAGGCATGGTGCTTCAAAACAGGAAGATGTATTCATTAGCACAATAATTCCCAAAAGGGGTGCCTGCAAGAATATTTTCCCCACATTCTGCCCTTAAGCATCCAGTCTCGAGAGCCTAGCAGGAACGAGCAGCCCTGGGGAGCCAAAAGGCAGGATGTGTTGTGCTAGGTTCGGCAGTTACTGATGCACCTGCTGCCTGGCCATGCTAGACAATGTCAGGGTAGCTCATATAGCAAAAATACAAAGCCAGACTTTAACACAGAAAAGCTATTCCTCAGATAATGAGTTTGGAAAAAAACAGAAGAACAGCCAATCACACAATATCCTTGTTCTGTGAAAAAAAACAGCAATTCATTCAAAATACTAAAACTTTGGGGGAAAAAAGTTCTTACTGAAGTTTAAAGTCTCATCAGCCAGACAGGACAGTCCATCACACAATCACTGAGCTCACCAGTAGGGCAGTAATCCTAACCCAGTATCTTTCCTAATTGAAAAAGAAATGGTTTCAAGTAATCACAGTAACATTGTTTTGCTGTATTCCTCTCTGCAGTCTGATTGCCACACCAGTGCCTGTTATTAAAAAAAGGCAGTTTTGCCACCACAGAAACAAACACTAGTGAACAGCTTTGTTAAGAGACAGAGGAGGAACTCAGGCTATTCAAAGAAGCCATCTTCATTGAACTGCGCTTTAATTCAACACTCTTACTCTTCATTCTCGTTTCCTTATTTAGAACATTTACATCGAAGTTTCATGATAGATTCTTCAGCTGCTATTGACACTTCATTTCAAGTAAAAGCTGATTATGAATTAATTTTGTATGCCATCAAGAAAGGAAAGTATCAAACTTGCAGATTTCTGATTTTGTAACAGATTTGTGCATTTCTGAAAGACATGAAGCCCTGAATTTTGTATAACAGGGGCATTTTCTGAATTCACTTTTAATGCCCCAACAGCTGGTAAAGTACCTAGACTAATACTAACTTACTCCCACTTTGGTGCATCTTTCCAAGGATTTGGGAGTAAGCTTGTATTTTTTTTTTTTAGCAAGATCTATAAGCAGTTTATGACAGTTTGCCCATCAACAGAAAAGGAAGGCAGCTATATTGATACACAGCTATTAATTTGACATGTTGTGGGTACCTGACCCACTTCCAGTTTTCATGATTTATTTCCCAACTGAGAAGTTGCTGTATGTCCCCACCCTCTTAGTCTAACATCTCATTACGTCTTGGTTGCAGGAAAACTGAAAGGTACTGCAGTGACAGCTCCGAAAACTGCACTAGGAAAGTTACTGTAAACCTGAGGGTCATGCATGTTTTGCATCTATTTCCAGATATGTTTTAACTAAATTGTTAAGAAATAAACGCTATACATGTCTCAGTGTTAGACCCTAGCAGTATCTCTAAAAATCCCACCTGTTTCTATCCTCATTTCTTGGGTTATGACTTAATTATGTACTACAAACTGTATTGGTGCCGCTGGTTCTTTTGCCCTAAGGCAAGAGTCAGCCACGTAACAGTACCGGTTAAAAACCTACCATCTTTCATTTGTAGATACCATTACTAATCTCTTGCCCAGGTCTTCCAATTCGCTATGAGGACACTAAAGATACTGTTGCATGGGATGGAGAGCCATTTATGACTTCCTCCCTTGACCTTCAAAGAGTATGAGTTTTCACTTACCATAGAACAAAGTGACCATCATCCAATGAACACAACAGAACTGGTTTCTAAGGATCAACATGGGAAGAGCAGTATAATGTTAGCATCCAACACAGGAATAATAATAAATTTATTACAATAGAAACAAACAGATAATGCATTAGTTCATGTACAAAATACTGATAGCATTCTGCTGCCTCAGTCAGTGCTTACTAAGTACCCACATTTAAAAACATCCTAAAACTGATGACACCACACAGATTTACAAAGGTCATAGCAATTTCTTGACACTACTGTAAAAGAGCCCAGCTACTCTTTAAGGTTTGCTGCACAACACGGGGAGATGGAGCAGGATATAATGGGAACATCTGAAATTTGAACTTCTGCACCAGAAAATTAAGAGTGAGCAACTTATAAGCATGGGGAAAATAAAACAATCACACTATGCATGAAATTAGAGTTACTCATGGGAAATGTTTTCATTAGAAGTGCCCAACAATAAGGCAGCTGATGACTGACTTCAGTGCCCATCATTGCTCAAGGCACGAAATATTAGTTGTCAGTTCTACTCCTGAGCTATGTTGGTTTTTTCCTTTTCTTTTTGAAGAAACTGATGTAGCATAGAAGCATTTTCACTGAACTGCATCAACTCCCAAAGGAAGCCAGACGCCTCAGAGACCCTTAATAAAAGAAAAAAATGTAGCTACAAGCCTGCTGGATTGATTTGTGTAACTAGGGCTTTATACCGTTGCGTTTTTTCCCCCCACCTTTATGTACACATTTACTGATTTTATAGAGGAAGTCAGTGTGCACGTTAATATCTCTCCTTTCTCATCACCTCACTGTTTTGGAGTAAGAAACATGTGGTCCATGCTAACCAAAAACCATTTATACAAAGTCGTTTTTAAAATAAACTATAAAATACATTTTTTTGCTCTATTGGTTCCCCACCCCCAAGTATAATTATCCAGATTTATCTCACAGATTTGAGAGATGCCTTAAAAAGCTGTAATTTATCCCGTCTCTGGGCAAAGCTAACGGGCAAAACGATTCCTGCAACCACTGAGAAATTTGCAAGCACATTCTAGTTGCAGCTAATTTATTTCTGGGGCAGTATCAGGTCACAACACATACAGTGTGAAGGGAATACTGGCACTGAGCAAACTTTGAAGCAAATTAGGACGTTCTCTCCCTGCTCCCTCTTATACCAGACTCCCTGATGGAAGTCCACAAATAATTTCTTCTCTAAGAAGACAATAAAAACTCATCCTAATACAGTCTCAAGAACCATATATACACGTTTTGTATATTTGAAAATGCTGGCAAAAGTCCATAGAGGCAGAAGATAAAAAGCATGAAAGCAAAGTCTAACATCAGGTTCTCTACTGAACCTGATACCTAGAAACAAAACAACATAAGGCTTCTTTCTTCTGAAGTACCCTCCCCAAAATGCCTGTGATTTTCCAGTGGCATGTGGAAGAGGCCAGCTGTCGAGACCTTCTTTCTTGCTTCACAATTTAGAAAGTGAGATGTTATGCAGCAGAGAGGCAGGCCTGACGAATACTTTGTGCCCAGGTGTTTAAGAGTGCTGTGACTGAATGCTTGTCTGGAAGTTGCAATAGTTTTGAAGTCATATACCGATACACCGACTGCAAAAAGGGATTGGCTGCTGGAAAAAAAGATAACAGATAAACGGAGTTATAATAAAAATAAAATAAATAAAATCTAACAAAATAATTTTCAAAAAAGACTAATATTAAATGTTCACATTTCCCCACTATTACCACATACACATGCCCAACAAATGTCATGCTAGCATCCTCATACCATACTGTCTAGGATTTTTTATCCACAGAGGGCTCTGATCTGGATAGTCCGCTGGAACGCTGAGCTGTAGTGGTGGGACATTTGGAAGATTCTTGTCATCTAGAATACAAACACATTTCCCATCAGAACAAAGGATTCCTTGCTGGACGGAGGGGGGTTTTGTGCACAATTCAGCTTGGTTTCTAGCCTCTGAACCCCAAGGAGGAACCAGGCTGTACATCTCCATTTTTATTGGAAGGCAATCTCATTGCTCACTTTAACAACACTTAAATTCTTGGAAGAAAATCCTGGCAAACACAGCTCCATCTCTTATACATTTCTGCACCTGACCAATCTCACCATCAGCTGAACTTCACTAAGTTAGACACCTCATTTTTTAAAATTAAGTGCCTTATGTACTAATATTCATGACAAAAACAATTCAGATTTCACAAACAAAGGCGAGGAGGAAAGAATCTATTCTCCGCGTTGGAATCCAAGAGCAAAACAAGTTAATAGACTATTAACGCTTTATGATTATTCAGCTGAGACGAAAAAAAGAGATGCAATCTGAATTTCTTTTTTGAACATACACCATTGTCAGTGATCATTAGTACAAATTGAAATAGACCCTCCCAAAAATTAACTCAACATTTCTCCAGCTCTGTCCTAGTTGTTGGAGGCAGAACAATTCTCACATATCAGTACAGGTCAAATCAGGAATCAAGATTGTTGCTAGCAACAAGTAATTTTCTAGACATTAAATGAGATTACTCATTGCAACTTCAGTGCAAAGAAAGGATCAATCAGTGTGAATGAAATCTCCAGGTGTACCCTGAAGCAGACTGTGTAGAATGTCATGATTAAGCAGTGCTATGGATCTGGTAAGTACAGACTTTGTGCAGAAGTTACAGGTTGGCAAGATTCAAGACTGTTAGCAATAAACTCTTTAACTTTCTACAGTCAAGCTCAGCACTTATTTCTGAATTCAGCCTTTAGTTTCTTCTTGCTTACCTAGCTTGCATATGAGATGAACTGTGCCATTATTACTGCAGTGGGAAGGGTCCAGGTTCACCAGGAATTTAGGATTTAATCTTGCAACTTCCCCTTGTAAGACATTTGGTATGGTCTGTCTTTCATCCTCTTCATACTTCCGTTTTCGAGGGGAAGGAACTGGGGTCCTATGTAAAATACAGTCCACGAAAAGACTAGGTGAAAATGTTATGCCAACACCTCATTTGTCAAATATTTTACAGGTGTAAAAAGGAAAGATGTAACTCACACCCATCCATAAACCTATTTGTTTAATAGTTTCTACAAATAAATATTATATCCTTAAATAATGAACATTTAAGACAGACACCAGGTCAATGATACATACGTGATTGGTGGTCCATGAATTGCAGTCATAGCTGGCATAAATGTACGGTAAAGGGAATGGTTGAAGACTGGTGAACGGATGTTGGCCAAAACAGCATCCAAAAGTGGCTGACACAAGTACTGCTGTTTGGTGGGGGGCACTGGGGGAGGCGGTGGAGTAGGCTAGAACACAAGAGAAGCCCCTTTTCTTTCAATCATCACCAAAAAAGAAATCTCTACTATTGATTCTGCAAAATTTTATAGCAGTAAACTTCCAATGCATGAAACACAAAGGATTCTCAAAACTGCATACAGTAACATTAAGAAAAAAAAAAAAAAAAGCCGTCCGCAGCTTTCATTTAGGAAGTCTCTGCTGAAATCAGCTGCAAAAGTTCATAGAATTACTCAAGTCTTTGCACAAAGCACAAGAATTTGAAAGTTCAGTTAAAAGATACATATAGGTGACTTACATGAAGTAAATGCTCGCCTATTTTTTTCCTGTTTTCTTATTTTGTCCAACCTCACTTGAAGTCTTAACAGCATGAGCAACAAGAAATGCAAAAAATTATCTTGCCAAATCATAAGACCTTTCGGAACGAATTGCTTATCTCTTACTAGAGCAAAGCATTACGTACCACAGCCATATCGTTTTTCAGCTTCTCCAGAGCAATTTCGCATTTCTGCAGTGTCTTTAGAGGGCACCTGCAGAGAAGGAGAAATTTCATCACCACAAAATGGTCACCTTGGCCAAAGTGTTTCTGCTATCTGAGCCCCACAGACAGCTTCAATGCCAACATGGCTGAATGCTAAAAAACAAACTTCTGGAAAGCTGGTGAACCTGATGTCCAGCCAAAAGGAAAAAGTTACCGTTTTGAAGGGTCAGTCAGGATATCTAAGAGACTCTTCATTTTACTCAGGTCCTTCTTCCTATCTGAAATAACATGAGAAACACAAACACTGACTACAAGAATAGCTTCCATACTTGCAGACAGAAATACAGTATACTGTTAAAAGTGAAAACATGAGCCAACACTGAAGAAAGTAGTGAGGATCAAAGATCTTTCATCTAATCGTAAGTATATCCATTGCATAAGCTCTATGTGTCTCAAAAACATCAGAAGTAAAGGAAAACTGATGGGAATTTAATGAGGAGGATTTTACCCAGCCTTCACAGTAAAATCTTTACAGTCATAGGCAAGAAAGAGCAACTAACTTTCACTGTCATTTTTAATCCCTGGAATAGAAACCATCACAAAAGGAAAAGGTGCTGCTTCTTTCATCAGAAGATGAAGTTGACAGCGAGAAATGCATGACTAAATACAGGGAATCTCACCTTCATTTTTATCTATTTTATTGATCATCCTCCGGAGTGGCTCAATGTATTTTGATAGCTGTTTGAGTTTCTCCAGATACTGTTGCTCCTCTGACTGGCTAGAACTGGCTGGACTCATGACAGAATTTGGATTTCCTGGCAAGAAGTAAAGACTGCATGTCATAGGGATGATAAAAGATACTGCAGAACAGCATTCTCACATTTCAGAATCTAGACCTGAAATGTGGCATTCTCGAAGTGTAGCTCACATCAAATATCCAAATCCACAACTGCATGCCCTCCACAGTTTACGTGCTTGTCCAACCCTCTAATTTTTGTGTAGAAATAACGTGTTCTGTGGACAGAACGGCAATTCCCACTTGATACAATTTTTTTCTGAAAAGGTCCAAAGTTTCATATACCCATTTTCTAGTTCCTCATTTTGCCTTCACTCTGGTGCATTAAACATTAAATCAACACACTGAATTTGCTGCAGTTTTCCTTAAGACGGTGCTTTCCAAACTGCAGAGCACACAACACTGGTATGAGAAGGAGCCAGTATGTTACTTCCATTCACAGTATCAGAAACCGCTTATAACATCTGGGAGAGAGAAGAGCACAAGTGTCAGAGTACACCTAGGAAGGTGTTTTGGAGCAAAGCAGCCTGCCACCTGTGATTAAGTGGTAAATCCTTTACAATTGCATGCTGTTGCTAAGGGTTCCTTCCTGCATGGAACCAAGGAATCATTATGCCTCTATAAACTTGCTCCACTAAGTTAAGTATCATTCTTTTTTCAAAAGATTGGGGAAGTTAGAAAAACCCATTACATAGTTGAGTGATGAGAAAAGAGGTTTCAGTTGATTCTGATTTGAGATATCCATGATGTTGTGTTACGTGGTGCATGTGACATGTTCATTACTTGCAATGCTAGCTGCTTTGTAGAGCTCTTCAAAGTTTGCATCGTGCCAAACAATAACAGGTTTCCTGGGAACTATTACCAAAACATACCGCAACTCACGGTGTGCAATATAGTTCTCCGATCATTTACCTGGAGTGTTTAAAGGACCTGGGGATGGGACGCTGAAGTTCTGAGGTGTTCGTGCAGCTGCTGGGCTCTGGGATGGTTGTGGAGACGGACTGGGGAGAAAGCTGCTGGGTGATGGAGCTGGGCCAGAGCTGAAAAACAAGCATAAAATCAAACCTGCCAGAATCTGACAAGGAAGCATGATCAGCCTGTGAGCAGATATGCTTTTAGTAAGCATCTCTATGGCACTCTGTAGCTCTGCCAGGAGACTCGGTGAAGATTTCGTACACAGCTGCTTTATTTAAAATGGGGGTTTTCAATCCCACCTGTGCTCTCACTGAAGTTCATGTTAAAATTCATTCACTTCAGTGGAAACAGAGTAAGACATATTGAATGCTTCTGCAAACCTCACCTTTACGGCACTGACAAAGATCCTCAAAAGTTGCAGTCTAGCTCACCTGACATTTGAATTTGGCTGAGAAGTTGGCTGGCCTGGCTGAGGAGATGGCTGCGGCTGTGGTGGCGGCGGCATTGATTGGGGTGTTTGAGCTTGTTGGACAGGAGATGGGGATGACATCATGGTAATATTGTTCTGGCTGACCTGAAATGTGGAAAAAGGTAAGATCAATAACAACAAAAGGGAGTACAGGATGGGAACCTAACTAAAAGGCTTTACCTACAGAAAGAAGCGTATCCTCAGGCCTACAAGAAATGAAAGTGTTAGTTCTCCCCCATAATGACCGTCCCACCTGTATCACTCTTGAGGCTCCCAGGGCAGTACTTCATATCAACTTTACTAGAAATAACCATTAAAACTGCACATAATTTGAATAACCATATAATAATTGTTTTTCACTTCCCAAACCATCATGTTGCAATTAAAATGTCAGAAGTACCATCTGAAAAACCTGTAATTTATTAGAACTAGAGTAAAGAAGAGCAGGAAGAAAAGACAGTTCTAACTTGAGAATTAACAGCCATAAAAAACACTCATTATTTTGACATTTTAATTACAGTCTTAAAAGGTCTGTCAGACTTGACTGTAGCTTCCCAACTGGTTTTCTTTAGGAGGAAGGGAGAAAAAAAAATTAAGCAAGCCAAACCACCAACATCTTGTTTAAATATTCAGCTTTGAAAATCTGGGTGGAGATGGAAACACACCAAACTGAATGGCTGGATGGAAAAAAGTGAAGTAGCTTTCTGACCTTTGGAGAATGATGAGGTGTGCCTGAAGGACAAAAAGATGAGTAAGAGCATTTCTAGAACAGCACCAAACTCTGGGTAACAACTAAGTTTATTCTGTACACTATGAAGTGCCAGAGCCAGATGATGCCCAAATTAGAGCAACTTCTCACATTTGTTCTAATGGACGTTTTTCCCCTTGATCACTAAAATCAAACAAAAAAACCTGTATCATGGCCAGGAGCATGGTATAGTAATGCAGATATTAAGTGATCATGTTTGTTTAAGGCACACGCAGAGTTCTTATGACCTAAGGCTATAAGCAAGTACATACAAAGATAAACTGAATTAGCCCGCAGAGGCTACATATTGTGACTCAGTAACCCATGCATCCATTCTGTAAGTCATTGATTAGCACCTTTATGAATGAACAACTCTGTTTCCCTCAGTCTAAACTATTTTTAAGCAAAGGTCCCAGTAATCCACAAGTCCCATACACTTCATGGGCACTGCAATTTGGTGTTGTCCTTCACTGACTCGTTAAATATCCATCTAAATTATCCAACTGTTTCCAGAGGACACGATATTTAGTGCATTAAAAAGTAAGTATTCCATGGTCTACTTTTGCATGTATGCACTGAATACGACAGGAAATGCTTTGCTTGGAATATCACATTACAGCTATGCAAGAGGTCAAACTCAAACAATCCCCAGCTAGGTGCAAATGTAAAACTACTAAACTTGAAGATACTAGTTTATCATCCATTAAAGCATAGTTTAAAATCAAGTGCAGCCTGACATACTATGATTTTTATTTTAATCTTCAATAACCATATTACCTTCACAACCTCCCCTACAAAGATAATATCTAAAACACATGAGGCTGAAACTATGTTTTAAATCAGCTATTATATCTTCCTTTTCTCCACAATCAACATATACTGAGCCTGTGCTTACTGTTTTTCATAGGAGGTGGATTCTTTAACAGCATGTGTCTCCTCAACAGTTGGAAAAGCATTTCTGAGATTGAAAAGATAGTCTGCCTCCCACAGAAACCAAGCATCTCACCGCTGTTTGGAAGGAATCTAGGATGAACACTGCAAAAAGCACTCCCTGATTTTTTTTTTTACAATTCTATTTAACATTCTATTAAACAGCAAGTGATTTAGGACTTACCCATATGGATGCTGCACCCATTTTTCATCAAGTCAAACTAAGACCACTTCTGAGTGGTTCATCACTTCCTGAAAATCAGGCCCCTTTTAAGTGTCTCAAGTTGGTTACATAAAATTACTTCTGAAAACTTAAATCCTTGTGTTTTGGGAAGGAAGAAGAAAGATTTCATTAGGATTTTTTGCCAGATTTAAGCTTTTGTATCTACTTCAACACGAAGGTCCGTTCACATTAATTTACAAATGTTGCAGAAAAGCAAAGAAAAGAACATGCAGCATCTACTGTGCACATAAGCATAGAATGAATTAGTTCTGGTATCTTTTTTTGCATTACCCCTTCTCATTTAGGTACACGCATAGGCAAACAGCTTTCCTTCTTACAACAGGTTTGCTCTCTGCCAGCTTAATTTCAGAATACCGATGGCTAATGTCTAATATTAAGCAAAATTGTGACATTTTCAAAAAGATGCACGCAGAAGTATGCAATTCTGAACTTACTGCCTTACTTCTCTTTGAAAGCAGTTAATTTGCTTCATAATAATTTCAGATGTCTTTCTATAGAACAGATCTAAAGACGCTTTCAGCTTTAGATTTTTACATTGTTTGCAGGATATGGATTAAGATTATAACAATTTAATGAAATTCCAATTTCTAGGGAATGCTCTTTCCAGCTGACTCCCACTAAAAAGAGGGCTTAAAAAAACAAAACCCAAAAATACCCGATAAACCCAAAAGACAAAAAAAACCCTCCCTCTGAAGCTTTAACTCCATTAAACTCATTTAGCTCCTCATTTAACTCCAGAGTTAAGCCATGGTTACCGACCATTTGTATACCCTTCATCTTCAACATATATAAGCAAATGCAACTACATATTTTTTCACTGCAGGATGAGATTTTCTGCATCTACAAGCATATTCATGGACAGTTATTACAGCCCACTGAACGTGAATTTACTCTACAACTCTACAGTGACCTGATCATGACACCAAGCCCTAATTTGCTGAAGTCTTGCCCAAAAGATATTTAGGCTTGCATGACAGAAGTTTCCACTTAATATCCACTAAATCAAAGCTATTCTTAGTGTTTAGAGAATAGCTCTAAAACTATTTATCTTAAATAGTTAAGATAAACTTAGCTACGAGGCCTACCTCCAGATTGCTGAGTGTGCTGGTTTTGGCTGGGATAGAGTTATTTTCTTCATAGTAGCTAATACGGGGCTATGTTTTGGATTTGTGCTGAAAACAGTGTTGATAACACAGGGATGTTTTCATCACTGCTGAGCAGTGCTTACACAGAGTCAAGGCCTTTCCTGCTCCTCACCCCACCCCACCAGCGAGTAGGCTGGGGGTGCACAGGAAGTTGGGAGGGGACATGGCTGGGACAGCTGACCCCAACTGACCAAAGGGATATTCCATACCATATGACGTCATGCTCAGCGTATAAAGCTGGGGGAAGAAGGAAGGAAGGGGGGGACGTTTGGAGTGATGGCATTTGTCTTCCCAAGTAACCGTTACACATGATGGAGCCCTGCTTTCCTGGAGATGGCTGAACACCTGCCTGCCGATGGGAAGGAGTGAATGAATTCCTTGCTTTGCTTTGCTTGCATGCGCAGCTTTTGCTTTACCTATTAAACTGTCTTTATCTCAACGCGCAAGTTTCCTTATTTTTACTCTTCTGATTCTCTCCCCCATCCCACCTGGGGAGGAGTGAGCGAGCAGCTGTGTGATGCTTAGTTGCTGGCTGGGGTTAAACCACAACCGAGTCTCAGGCAAGGAACGGCACTCAGTAGATAAGGCTAGCGAGAGTTTTTCAGAAGCTCCCAGTAGCAAGAGTGTACAATACGCAGAAGCTAACAGCAAGGAAAAGGAGACTGCAACAAGGAAGTGATGGGTAGTAACAAGGAACAGGAGAAACACTTTTAGTCTAAAGGAAAACTCTAAAAAGCATTTATACTACTGTACTTACATGTTAAGCCAGTAAGCATAGTCTTGTCTACTTTGTTGCAAACTAGGTTTAAAGTTCACCCTTATGCTGCTTTGTGTGACAAAATGGAAACTCTGCAGAGCTTCAAATAAGTTCAGATACAGATTTCCATATTCCCAGTCACGCCAGTATGCCTTGCTTTATTTTAATATTAACTCAGTTTTACTTTTTTTCCTATATTTTGTTTGCTGAAGATTTCTGTGCCAACAATAAATTGGAAGTTCATACTATTTTAGACTGCAATAAATTTGTAGACAGAACTTGAAGGTTTTGACACTAGAAATACAAGAGAATGATTGGTATTAGCACATTAGTTATCTAATTGCTAAAGGGAAAGCTAAGTATTAGATCAGTTTAATCTTTCAAAATTTTAAGATCAGCAGGTTTCTTGAGCCAATCCAAATATGGTATATGAAACTTCTCTTAACTCTTCAAAAAGTGCCACTAACATTGACTCTAGTTCATGTTTGGTAACTATTCAGGCACAAACTTCAGCTAAGGAAAAAAAAAGTCAGTTCTAATTCTTTGGCAATTCAAAAGACCAGGAGATTGTGGAATACAATGCCGTATCAGTCAATATATTCTTCTGACTGAAAAAAACATAATAGTAAAAAAACCCCAACCGGACAAAAAAAACCAAAAACACTGCAGAATCAACTGAGCCTTGTGATAAAAAAAGGGCAGACTGCCATTTGTGTCATATGGGATAAAAATAAATAGCCACACAGTATTGATATCACATCTGGTCCTTTTGTTGAAAGAGATTCTTCAGTGCAATACCAAGATTCTTTTCTAAAGAGAGAAGACACTGTGAATCACCTATCACCAAGTTTAAAAGACTTTTGATAGTGTAGTCAAGGAGATGACAGACTCTTAAATGAGTAATTAATAACCAGATTACTCCCATTGTGAACAGCTGCAAGGGCTCTGATGATAAGGAAGTTAAACATATCCAACAGACAATATTATTTAAGCATTTTACGAAATTAAGAGACATAAATGACAACATTTCTAATTTCTAATCCACCTAGAACCTGAACAAAGTGTTTTGGCAGTCAGCACTAGAGATTCATGCTGATCCAGAGCCGATGTCAGACTGGCTTTAAAAACATGCTTCCCACCACCATTAAAACATGACTCACTCACTCACTCACCCTACCACCTGCTTAGGAGCCGTTTTCACTCCAATCATTGTTCATAAAGAAATTTCCTTTCTTCTTCTGCCTTCTCTAGTTGTTCAGTCTTCTACATAATTTTCACAACCCTTGGCATGCTACTGAGAGCGCTCCTTGATGACCAATTCACTTGGTGTCAGAAATCAAAGCTCCTCAATAACCACAGACATGACAGCACTAAAAGATGAGCCCATGGCACTGAATGCTTAAACTAGAGGTCTTTTGTTATGACTGAAATATTAAATATAAGCCAATCTAATACTTAAATATCGATCAGAAGGCCTCATCGTCAAACCAAATATCATGAATACTTCATACGGGAGACGATTGTCTCAGACTATACAGACTGCTACGGCAAATAAAGCTCAGAGTAAATTCTCCTTTGACTCAATAGCTATGTCTGGATTTTATTTCAGTTAACATATAAACAATGACCTGGGTTGAAATGACCATCCATCTTAAACCAGAAACAAGAACAGATGTGTTTGCCTAGGTCTGCAGAATCTTTCTGGTCACTGTATCTAGCTTAGCAAATTCCTGAGAAGAAAAGGCTGTGCCTACTAAACTTGATGCAGCAGCACTAGGAAGCAGAGTTTCAGACATTCCACAGCCCTATGACAAGCTTGCAAAGGAAACAAAAATGCGAAGAGTGAAGAAATTTTCATTAACCCTACAAACAAAAGGCAGTGGCATTAAAAGCTAAAACTGCACCTGGTATTAAATTTGAAAATTAGTGTCTAGAAGAACAGGACATGAGGTTCATGAATAACAGATAGAAAAATGCAGTTGAATGCTATTCCACCATCATAATACGATACGTATTTAAACCAACACCAATCACATAGTCCTCAGCAAACTTCTGCAGAGCACAGTCTCGTTTTGTGACTTACTGGTAAGAACTCAGTTCTATTTCATTCCAGTCCTCCCCATT